TTTCATCTAAACTTTGATTTGTTGATTTATTCATATTGTTTCATATTAAACTACAAGATCAAAACACAAAATCTTTTGACCAAACACCAAAACATTTAATCCGACGGAGATAAATTGATACCATGGATCAGGAGTTGTTGCAGAAGTACAAATTCAGGAAGACTAATGTGGGGTTCTAGGAGTCAGTAGGAGCACACAGTCCAGGATAGTTAAGGTATAAACAGGAGTCAGAATTTGTCTTGAAGGAGTATATCTCCATTAGGATCAAGGAAGACTGCATGAGTTGAGGTTAGAAGTTCTATGGGGTAGATGTGTCTGGACTTCAATGTAAGTTTGCTTCGATTTATAATGGATTATTGATTGACAGTGTTCAAAGTTTTTACCCAATTGGAGTTTCTCAGTGATCATATTTGATGTTTTTTACTGCTTTAATTATTGATTGTGGTATTTAAACTTAGGACAAATTGACTTATTTGACTAACCATCTAAAAACAATTAAAAAGTGACTTATTACTTTTAATTGTGTAATTTCGCACATGGGTCTAAATAATTTGGAACTTTCAAATGGTATCAGAGCTTAATAGTAGGGATATCTATAAGGCGTTTGACAAATTGTAGGAGTGACTTAAGTTGAAAAGGGTGAATAGCTTTTCCTTTAAGAAATTGCATATAATTGAATTAGAAAAGAAGAGTTTAGGGGTCAAACTTAAGGAGTCGATTAGTGGATTGAATGAATTAAGGATTGAGAAAGAGTCCTTAGAATTTAAGGTTAAATCTCTTACGTTTGATCTTGAAAAATCGAATGCCCAACTTCAATTATTCTCTAGTGGATTTGAAAAGATTGATAATATGATATGTTTAAATAAAACAAGAAGAGGTGTTAACTTTAATGAAACAAATTCTCAGGCTGCTGCTTCTTCGAAAAATAAGTTTGTACCTGCATCAAAGCATAAAGCTCAAAACTTAAAACCTAGAGTTGCTTCTAGGTTCATTCCTATGTGCCACCATTGCGATAGGGTAAAACACATAAAACCTAATGTTGCAAGCTCTTGAATAGGAACATGACCAAGAATATAGGTGTCCGAGAATTGAAATCATCGGTACAACATAAGTTTCCTCCACCTAAGATTCAAAATTTGAAATCTAGGATTCTTCCTAAATTCATTCTCATGTGCCACAATTGTGGTGAGTTTGGACACAAAAGGCTTAGGTGTCACAAATTTTTGAAAAGAAATAGAAGTCAGAATATATCTAGCCGGGTTGACTTCCTTACTAATCAGGTTAGTCACTTGACCGAGCTGATGACATAATTGACTAGAATTAACTCCGCTTCTCGAAAAGTTTGGGTGAAGAAGAGTGATCTGAGAGATTATGAATCTGATCCCAGTGCTTTTTAGAGCGTTTCTGTGCCTCATTGAGTAAGTAGTTTAATGCATGCATCTGCATTATTCATGGAATCTACATTTTCATGTATGCACTTTAAACTTTTTCTTTATTGTTTTGTATTTTATTTATTATCTTGAAAAATGAAATTTAAAAGAAATTGAAAAAGGAAAAGATTTTCTATTTTTTTGGACAAGTTATTTTGCTATCAAATACTAGTTAGGTTCATAGCTATCAAATAATAGTTAGGTTCAGAATTGGTAAATTAAATTTCCATTAATTTGTTTAGAACTTATTTGGAGTACTTGGCATATGTCATTACATGTATCTTATGAAATGCATACATTAGACTCTTGTGAGTGGGTTTTGATCGCGTGTTTGAGATTTCAGATGTCAATAATATGTGTGGTGGATTGACTTAAAATTTGGAATGACATGTAAACTAGTTGATCTAAGTTATTAGACTTTTCTTCGTAGCCTATATGACTTGAATGATTAAGCTTGTAGGGTCTATTAATACATGGTGTCCAATAAGTCATTTGACTTTGGAGTCATTGACCTAAAGCTAGTTACAGGGATCATGTAGAAAGCTTAATGTAGAAGAGTTTGCACACAATATTTGAAAACTAAAGAAAAATATACATATATACGTGCTCACAAATATGTGGAGTAAGAAAAATTTATACAATTAATTATGATCTCATTAATTTATAAATGTCCTAGTAACACTGGGTTTGACTTCATACTTTGAAGAATATATTCATTCACGAGTGATTCTTTGCATGTCCTTTCTCATTGATTTAAGGTTTTGAGACTTGCTTACACGAGTCTAATGACAATTTTCACACATGAATAACTTATACAATTTACTCCATCAAGGTTTAAAATAAATTATGCGGGAAAAGTTTACTTGTTTATGAACAATTATGTATGAGTAAGCAAATAACTGTTTATGATGATAAAGTTGAAAATTTATGAAAAATTCGAAAAACAGTTGGTCTCAAAATTGGAGAATTTTTATTCTCTCATCACATGTTTTTGTATCATTATGCATGTGCATATTTTTTTTGTTACTCATTCCTCTTTGTGTTTTACATGGTTATTACTTGTCTTTTCTTTGTTATTTGTGACAAAAAGAGAGAGAGATGTGTATTTATTTTAGAGAGTTGATTCTTAAGGGGAGAATTTTAAAATGTTATATCGATAGATGACTTAGGGAGAGTCATTTGATATATTTGCTCGAATTTACCTATTGATATAGTTTTTTTTATATTATATAAAAGTCTACAATTTATTTCTAAGTTTATAATTCACATGATATTGCATGTTTCGGTGTTGCGCATGTTTTATTATGTGTTTTATTTAACTTAGTTATATGATTTTGGTTTTTTTAGTTTCCTCTTGCTTTTCACGTGATATTGTGGTTTACATGTATTTCAGGAAACTGGTTTACAAAGTATTGAAGAAAATTTTAAAAAGTTTATTTTTAGGTAGTTTTGGATTTTTTTTACTTTGAAATAAATGATTTTATCATGGAATGCCAAAGGGAGAGATTGTTAAATCAAATTATAATTGGCAATTACTAAATTTGTAATTGACAATTTCATTAGTCAAAATCTAGTCCTAGTTGAATTATATTAGGAGTTTATCAAGTTGTAATCAAAGTCAAAATATGGGTTATTGAATCCTAATTGACGGCAAAAGAGTTGGATTGGTAGTATAGGTCTTGAAGGAGTTCAAAATATTCAATATCACATATAATCAAGAGAATGCAATTAGAAGTCTAAAGAGTATCAAAGAACTGCACAAGTTATGTTTCAAATTCTCAGTCGCAATTTGCAACGCATTTGTCACATAGAACACATTGGAATATGGACAAGTATACCTCTAGAATAATTGTAGCCCTTTGAGCTAGCGTTTCAACACATTTTGAATCACTTCAATCGGATATCAGGAAATAAAATTATGATAAAAATATTGACATTTTCTTAGCTACTGCTCATTTGTTGTTAGATTGGTGCACGAGCGATGGGTCGACGTTCAAAAATCGGTTTTGCTTCAAACACTTGGTTTTTAAATCACTTTTCATCACAAGCACTTTTCCTCATATATCATATCCTATGAACGTCCAAAAGTGTGTTGAATCATATTTTCCAAAGAAATCATTCCTCTGAAGATCCAAAACACATTCATTGATTCAAAAATTCAACCACCATATTATTTGAGCCATAATTTCATCTAAACTTTGATTTGTTGATTTAGCCATATTGTTTCATATTAAAACACAAGATCAAAATACACAAAATATTTTGATCAAACACCAAACCATTTAATCTGCATAAGATATATCGATACTAGGGATAGGGAACTGTTGTAAAAGTGCAAATTCAGAAGGACTAAGGTGAGGTACCAGACGTTGGGAACTGGCGTCACGAGCAAGCGGTCCATGACGACTAAGGTATAAACCAGGAGTTAGAGTTTGTTTTGAAGGAGCGTACATCCAATAGAATCAAGGGAGACTGCAGGAATTGAGGTAAGAAATTCTACAGGGCAGACGTGTCTGGAGCATACTGTAAGTTTGCTTCGATTTATAATGGATTTTTTTACCCAGTTGAGATTTATTCGTAATTATCTTTGGTGTTCTTTACTGCTTTAATTATTGATTGTGATATTCAAGTTTAGGGCGGTTGACTTGTTTGATTAACCATCTAGAAACAATTAAAAAATGACTTGTTGCTTTTAATTGTGTAATTCTGCATGTGAATCTAAATAATTTAAAACTTTCAAGAATGGATGATGGTTGGGTAATTTTGTTTAAAAGGTATGTGAACAATGAGTAAGCCTTTAGTTTTTGGTGAGTAAGTAGTAATCCAAGGTAAATGTGGGTGATGGATGATTTAATTAACTCGTTTGTAACCAGTTAATTGGATAATTTGATACTAATAAATAATTCTATGATCTATTAAACGTGTGATTTGAGACTAAATATGTTATTGTGATTCACCAATTGTGTCTATTTGACTGTGACTTTGAATGATTTATAATTATTATGTGATTTAATCATAAATTGTGTTATTGTGATTGTAATCTGTTTAATTAAATTGTAGGTAACAAAATGTGAGTACCTAATTTTTGAAAAAATTACAATTTCATTATTTCTGAAATTGTATTTTGAAACCTTTATAGTTATTTATTTTTTCTTTATACCATATAAAAGTAAATATGGGATGGATTAAGCGAATAATCCGACTAGTATCAAAAAGCTTTGTTTGGATATAATTTATTTTGCTGTTAATTTGGATTTTGTGATGAAAAAGCTGATCTAAATTGTTAAGCCCTATTGGATTTAGATTGTTGGAAATAGATTTTTGTGAAAAGTGATTTTATTAGAATGTGTGTTTAAAAAATAAAGAAAAGTTATGAGTATATAGAATAAACATAACAATATGATGATGACATCACCTACAAATAGGGTTTATTGTTTACGAACCTATTCCACTAATGATAGTTCTCTTGATAAGTTCTGGAATAATTTTTATGATAAACTCTTGAATAATCATAATCATAATCATAATTCAGAGTCTAAAGTTTCTCAATATCAAGATGTTGTGCTGAATATGTTGCATAATCATAAAAATGATCAATTGACTGAAGAGGAATTAGTAAAACTACAAATATGTATAGAGGATCTTACTACTGCATATGGTGACATAAAAAGTATATATCAGGCTACTCCTTACTTTATCAATAAACTGATCTCTAAAGATCAACCTACAGCAAAGGATTTTCTGAAAAGATCTGGCCTTTCTGATGAAATTATATGTGATCTTAATTTCTTTGATCAGTATACTTTGGAGGCTATTATTATTTATGTACTTAGTTCTCTCTTCCACTGTATTCAGGAGACCCCTGCTGTTCGCGTATCCACTCTGATAGAACATCTTGATATGTATGTTAAGTTCCAAGCTAATTTGTTGAAAAACAGATATACGGCTATAAATCCTTCGAAGTCTGATAGAATCAAATCGAATTATACTACTGATAACAATAAGCAGGCTACTGATAACAATAAGCAGGCTACTGATAACAAGAGAAAATCGAAAGTCTTTTATATCGGTGTGTTATTGGTAGAATTCTTAGTGAATAGAGAGTTGATTTCTCTTTCAAAAGAATTGAGCTTTAATGATTTATATGTTGCTAAGAAGAAAGGTAAGTATTATTTACCAATCAATTATTACGCAATATGTAATTTTGATCTCAGTCTCCTTCCGATCAAACTCAATCTACCAATGGTATGTAAGCCTATGGATTGGATATCCACAAGTGAAAACCCTTCATCTCTATCCGATCTGCGTGGCGGTTACTTAAGCATGCCTATTGGTGATTTTTATCAAAATCGCTATCGCCTAATAAGTTCCCGTGACTTGTTCCATTTCCATATTAAGTTTGAAAATGATTACACAAAATTGTGCAAAATCATGAACGATTTACAGTCGCATGCTTTTGAGATTAACATAGATGTATTAACCTTCATTAATCAGAATTACGATCTATTAGTGAAATCTGGTCTACTTATGCCTAAATTTTTAGCTTCTTTAAATATAAAAAATTCAATTGACCTATTGAGAATGTCTTACTTAGAGGATCCGTCTTTGACGAAAATTTCGAATTATCAAAATTTGGTTAAGGAGTTCATGAAGCGTATCCAACGTGCTCGTTATGAAACCTTCATAATAAATCTAGCATCAGCCTACGAAGGTTATCGATTTTATCTGCCGGCCTTCCTTGACTTCCGTGGTAGAATCTACCGCTCTGGGGCATTACATTTCCATGAACGTGATTTGGCTAGAAGTCTAATAGTTTTTTCTGATACACCTTATGACAATTTTCAATTGGATAGTGATGAAAAGAAGGATAATGTTTATATGGTATTAAGCTCAGCAGCAGCTTTTCATTATAAGAAGTTCATTTCTTATGATGATGCTCATCAATGGTATCTCGATCACAAAAGTGTGATTAATTCATCGGATGAAAGTCTCATCCAGTTAGCTGTTTCTGCGAGTGACCCCTATCAGTTCATAAGCAAGGTTCTATGTATCGAAGGCGGTAAGACTGATCCTAGGAGAATTCCTATCACGCAAGATGCCTCTGCAAGTGCTTATCAGCTCATGAGTTTTTTCTTGTTAGATAAAGAAATAGCTAAACATACAAATCTCATACCCGCTTCTTATGTATATGATCAAAAGATCAATGATATTTACACCTTCTTTCTAGAAGAGATTCAGGTTTACTTGCATAATAAAATGACTGAAAATCTATTAAAGGTAATTTGTCCTCGTCTTACTCGAAAATTAATCAAAGTACTCTTCATGCCATTGATATATGGTAAGACGGTCTCAGCAATGTCTGATGATATTTTTAATCATTTTTCAACTATTGTTGAAACTGAGTTTTCACAGTTATTAGGTAGAGGGGAATCTACGATAGTAGCATTTCACATGAATAAGTTCTTTCAAGATAGATTTCCGGGTATAGTCAATCTAATGGAATTGATCCGAAATGTTGGTTGGTTATCTTCCGCCTTGAGTAAACCCGTATTCTATAGTATACCTCTATACACAACAGTACAGGACTATATGAAAACGAAAGCAGCCAAAATACTTCTATACGATCGTATCCACAAGAAAAGGCGTCAAGTGAGTCTACGAATTCCCACGGAAGATCGGGATCAAAGGAAGACTCGTTCTGCTACCTTTGCCAACTTCATTCATCAGAAAGATGCTCAAATAGCAATGTTAATGATATTTAACATGATAACTATTGGTGCGCCTGTCTACACTGTTCACGATAATTTCATTACTACAGCTCCTTACGCTATGCGCATCCCAAATTTATATATTTATAATATTAAGGAGAATGACCCATTATTAATTATAAACTATTATCTTATTCGAAATCTGCTGGATGGCAGGGCTTCGCTACATTCCCTGGATAAACCGCTTCCACTTGATTTTCTGAAAAGTATCTTAGAAGATAAAATACCCAAGAATTTAAATAATACTAAGAAGTTAATTTGGGAAAAAAAGATAAATAGTATATATGATGCTTATGTATACTATATAACTACTACATTCAATTACAATACAGAAACGGGAATATGTAACAATTTTGAAAAATGGAATGATTTCGTTTCGTCTATGACTGATTGGGATAAATTTAATTATAACTATAGTTTACACTTATGATGAAAAAAGAACTATTTGATGTATTATGGGGCTGCTTACTGAATTCAATCAAAAATGAAGATTATATGGATCCCTATCCAGGATTGAGAATTGCTGGAGTTGATTTCAATATGCCATTCTTAAGATGTATTGACTGTGATATGATATTATTTGCTGTTATTCGACTACTAATCAAGTACGCTTACACTACTAAGTCTGATTATGGGAAGTTTACTATTAGTTATGTCATGAGGATACCATCCGGAGAAGTACCCTTTACAATTAGTAATGCTCTCACTTTTAGAGAGGATGGGAAAGATTTGCCAGTCTATGCTTTGATTGATCAACTTGTCAGGAAGAAAGCAGAGGATTACAATGATTCAGAGATATCTCGCATTAATATTAGAATCTATCTTTCTGAAATGAAGGATAGTGCGACGCCAATTATCTCCGATGACGAGATTGCTAGCAAGCTCTGGGAATGCATCGAAAGCATGGTGGTGGTTGAACCTAAAAAAGCGAGAACGATCGGACATCGTAAGCGTCGTTATCTAAAGCATCTCACAGCACTCAAACCTAAAAAAAGTCAAAGGCAGCCATTCATTGTTGCTGATATTGAGACAGTTTTCCGAAATCAAATTCATGTGCCTTACGCTGTGGGTTTCTTAGTGGTTAGACCAGGTGATGATCTGTATTCAGCGGAGACGGGCATTGAGACATATTTCAGTGAAGATTACCCAGATTTTGTCTTCAAAACCTTTGAAGAAAGGAGCAATAGGATGTTGTTCGACTTTATAGAACGTCTAGCTGTTGTTGTTAGACAAAATCCATCGATTCGAACGGTCTACTTCCACAACTTATCACGATTTGATGGCATTCTCTTACTGAAATATTTAGTTACTCATGGTGATAAGTACAAGGTCAAACCTCTTATGAGGAACCATAGGCTATACCAGATAGCTGTCTATCTTGGTAAGAAGCGGCTATTCCTTCTAAGGGATTCCTTAACACTGCTCACGAGTAGTCTTGATAACTTAGCCAGAAATCTCTGTCCTCAATTAGGATCAAAAGGAACCATACCATATGACGAAGTGCAAGTCTCGAGAGATGGTCACTAATAGACCGAGTGATAAGTAATTCGACTCATTCCAGTGTTCTAAAACGCGGCAAAATGCGCCGCGTAGGCGCGCTTACGCGTGAAGCGTCATCAAAACGCATCGCATTCAAAGTATGCGTGTACAAACGCGGTCAACACCTGCGTTGACCACTAAAATGCGCATTTTTTTAATTTTTTTTAAAGTTTTCTTTTAATTTTACCATTTATTGATATAACTTATAAACTCTCCCACTTCCAACCCACCAATTGATAGGCCAGGAAGCTTGTGATATTAAGGTTTTGTTGGCCCATTTATTTATAGACAAAATTTCTTGGCTTTCATATATAGGATTCCGATGTGGGATACACTTTGGCTGTGTTACTGTGCAGAAAAGACTCCAGCGTGAGGCAGAGCTTAAACAATTGGAGGAAGAGGAGATTGGAGGAAGAAATTCGAAGAAGGGTTGAAAAGAAATTGGGTTATGAAGAATTTGAACTAGAAATAATGGTAAGAATTAAAACTCATCCATTCTCTTTAGTTTCCCTAATAAAGGAAAAATTTCTCATTTTCTCACCCCCATTTTTTGAACTCAGAAACAGAGAGGTTTTTTGGGTTTGGATTCCAAGCAATTGCGAAAATTGGAGAAAGGGAAAGGGAAGAATACATTCCAAGTGATGTTTTGATTTTTGTACTGTAAGAAAATGATTCCTTGAATTCGAATTAAGATACCTCAATTGACACAAATTTCAAATTCTCCGGCAGTGAACATACAATCTGTGAAATTAAACCCAGACCGAAAAACGATTTATGCAATGTACAATCATCAGAAATTGGCTGCAAGTGAATTCTCTGCTTGAGTGTGTGTACTCTCTAATTTTGCAGATCTTGAAAATGGGTTTTAATTGTGTTAATGGTTGAAATGGGTTTTGATAGGTTGTCTCAATGGTGGAAAGGGAGAGTTTATGGTGCTACTTGGGCAGTGAAGGGATTGAGGGGGTTGGGGCCAGCAGACTCTTCTGGGATATTTCTTTTGGTTTCTTTTGGTTGAAATGGGTTTTGATAGGTTGTCTCAATTTCTTTTGGTTTCTGGTTTTTGTCATTTTTTGGTGGGATATTTTGCAGGCATTTCCATCCACTGTAGAGGTTGAAGACGAGAGCTGGTAGATATTGATTTATTTTATATAAAAAATAGTTTTTT